TCACTACTGAATACTGACTTGACAGGCCGAGTAAAATGAGGCCACTCTCAAGCTTCTAAGACTTACTAATCTAGATATTGTTGCAAGTCATTTTGTGCCCATGTTAAGTCTATGGGGATTTTTGGTTGTTAGCCATTTTATTTATAAATGTAAAATAAGCCATTGAATTAAAGTTGTCATCACCCTTCAGAAGTCATACCTGTCCTCAAGCCGTTGTGACTCTGCATCCATGGTTCAATAACAAATGGTTGTGTCTAGGATAACCACAATACTGGTAAAGTAGCAACATTGTTTCCCTTGACATATTGTAATTCAACATGGGTCCAAATTTGTTTAACCACTTGCATCTTACAATCATCTGTGTATCAGATGCAGTTGCAAAACTGTTATTATGTTTAAAAAATAAATCATACCATCACCTAAAACCTTAATGCTTACAGCATAGCACAGGTTAAAGCACATTTAGGTAGACTGTGCTTAATCTAACATATGCAATTAGCATTTGTAGTACTGAATACTTGCTTCTTAAAGTCAATAGTGATGTAGCATTGACAGACATTCAATAAAGACAAAACAAGCTGACTGTGCCAATTAAACCAAATTGTTTATTAAATCGATTAAAAAAAAGCCTGTTGTGCCAAATCCTGTCCACCAGTCTGATCCCAGTCACACCTACTAAAATGTTAGAATAATGAATTAAGCAATAGAGCAATAATAAAGTTTACCTAATGACTGTTTAATTCCAAAATGGATGTTTTTCTTAAACACATCATTGTAAATTATTATAATTTTTATACTATAATATATATTAATTATATATTATAATAAATTATATAATATTATATATATGTACATTTAATATGGTTGATTTTAATTTAAAACCTCATTCAGTGCACTATCACATACTGTGTACAGTGGCAGAGTTAAATTTATAAATAATTCTGCAGTTCAACCACCCTGCTAAACATGGTTTAATTAATAATAATAAAATGACATGATTATTTGCTATAAATTGGTGCTGGGAATGTTTATTTAATAAAGACCATGCCAGCTATAAACACAAAAGTTTTGTTATTATTATTATTAATTAATTAATTAATATTAAAGTGCCCTAAGAAACTGATCTAAATGCTAATGGGTTTTATTCTTTTTTTACGTTGTTTAAAGTAAAAATGTACTTTGGGCATATGTGATGATTATCAATTTTTACCTGACCTACTGTCCCTTTCTGCAAATAATTTGCGGCTCTAATCTGAGAAAAAAAAAAAGTTACATTGATTTATAACACTAAATAGTTTATGGAGCAAACATTTTACTCATTAGTATTTATTAATGGCAAATACATTCAAACCTAAGCTGCATATAAATATCCTAAATTGTGATGATATGATTGACTAAGCTTTATTTGTACTCTTAAGCCTATTTTTACTTATTTTAAATTACTTTTAAGCTCCTTTTTATTAACATTTGTATGGCTAAATTACTATGGAATCTAAGTTTAAAGATAAAGGACCCGAGGGGAAGACAGGACTTGGCACAACACCCCCTGTGAGCAAGCCATTGGCGACTGTGGCAAGGAAAAAAACTCCAAAAAGTTTGGAGAGAAACCTTGGAAAGACCAGACTCAGCAAGGGAGTACCCATCTTCCTTGGGCGTGGCACGTAACAACATTTTTTAAATGTATAAGCTAATAACATTTTTAAACAACGTTAAAATTATCTAAATGTTGCAGGAAACCGTCTTCCACCATCTGGCCTCTGGATCTGGCATGCACAGACTTTATATCCTGAGGAAGAGGAGGCAAAACAGATGTGACAAAATTATTAGTAAAAAAAATATATTTTGATTGTTTGGATACTTCAGGAACAAAGAGAAAATGAGAATCACAGTTTACTTTAAAATCTAAGGTTTTACAAAGTCCATACTTCCTAAAGACTTCTTAAAGACAAAGCACAAGTTATGACAAGATGCACTGAACCACAAGACTCTTCTAGGAGTACTAATAAAGTATACCTCTGGTCCGTCATCCTGCAATGCTGTGGTGTGCAATGCCAAACACCTGGTCTTCTCCTGTAACCATGAGATTAAAAAAAATCAATAATAAGAACACTATATACACAAGCACCATTAAAACAGCCATTAACATTCATAGTGGATGCAAAAAATACAAAGAAAGTCAATGCTGTTTTTCCACAACATTAAAGATTTTTTTTGCATTCTCAAGCATTTCGAGTTCAAGAAGCAAGCAACTCAGACATATTTGAAACGAGTAGAATATCTGTAAATGACAACTTAAAAGTTTAGGTGAATAAACACCTTAATAATGCCTCTAAGTTTATGCAGCTTAATTTGTGGAAATATTTTGTAAAAGTTTCCTTTTAGAGAAAGCTTAAACAATATTGCAAATAGAATTTTTTGTAACGGCATAACTCACTTGTTTCAGAATACCTCTGTATTAGAGATGTTCTTCCTCTGGTCTATCATTCTGCAATGCCGTAGTGCGCATACACCTGGTCTTCTCCTACAACCATGAGATTGATGAATCAATAATAAGAACGCTATATACAAGCACTAGTTAAAACAGCCATTAACAATAATAGTGATGCAAAGAAAATACATAGAAAGTCAATAGCTTTTTTTCCATAACTTTTAAGATTTTAAATGCTTTTTATTTATTTTATTTTTCAAGTATTGAGTTCAAGAAGCAAGCAACTCCAGTAAATGATAATTTAAATGTTTAGGTGAATAACCTCCTTAATAATGCCTCTTAGTTTATGCAGCTTAACTTGTGGAAATATATATTTTTTACATTTCTTTTTGTAGGAAGCTTAAACAATATTTAAAATAGAATCTTTTGTAACATGACAACTGGTTTGTTTTATAATTTCAATACATATTAGTACACACACACACACACACACACACACACACACACACACACTACAATTAAATGGCGTGATCCTAACAGCATGCTCACCAATATATAGTTAGGCAGATGTCTTCCTCAACAATACTGCAGGACATTTGTTTTCTCAGTCAACACATCTTCTTGGGTCTTCTGGTAGTAAAAACATAAAAAAACACAACACTTGAATGAGACTAAGATTTAACATTATGCTGAAAATGTGACTGTATTACAAGGCAGTACAAACAACTGAAACAAAATACTTAGCTTTAGATTGAATCTCAAAGAATTCTGTCCACTTTGAAAAGGCTGCTGTTGTGTTAAAGCTGTGCCTGTAACAAATTAATAATATAACAGAAAATGTAAATCATACATTCATTCATTTTTTCGGCTTTATTAATCTGGGGCTACGACTGCAGAATGAACCGCCAACTTATCCAGCACGTTTTTATGCAGCGGATGCCCTTCCAGCCGCAACCCGTCTCTGGGAAATATCTGAACATACATATTTACTCACACACACACACACACACACACACACACACACTAAGGCCAATTTAATCTATACCAATTCACCTGTTCCGCGTGTCTTTAGACTGTTGAAGAAGTCGAAGCAACCGGAGGAAACCCACTCGAACGCAGGGAGAACATGCAAACTCCAAATAGAAACACCAACTGACCCAGCCGAGGCTCGAACCAGCGTTGCCACTGCAAGTCATAAATTCAGAACAAAATGTCAAACACAAATACAAAGGAAAAACATAAAATAATTCATTTATTCATGCATTTTATTGTCGGCTTAGTCTCTTTATTAATCCGGGGTCGCCACAGAAGAATGAACCACCAACTTATCCAGCCCATTTTTACACAGCAGACGACCTTCCAGCCGCAACCCATCTCTGGGAAACATCTGGACATACTTATTCACACACATGCACACACACACACACACAAAGGCCAATTTAACCTATACCAATTCACCTGTTCCGCGTGTCTTTGGACTGTGGGGGAAGTTGAAGCAACCGGAGGAAACCCACGCGAATGCAGGGAGAACATGCAAACTCCACACAGAAACACCAACTGACTCAGCTGAGGCTCGAACCAGCATCGCCACTGCAAGTCATAAATTCAGTACAAAATGTCAAACACAAATACAAAGGAAAGACATAAAATAATGGAACATTTAAAAAGCCACTGTACTACTCACCAACTGTTGCTGCTGTCACTGCCCTTTGTAAACTTTGAAGATGCCACAATATCCTCCTGATGTCCCTTGCTGCTGACCCTACTCTACTCTCATCACACAGCATCCACCTCAGGTACGACACACCGCCTTCACGCAACTGTGCACACACCACCAAGTAAAAGACGAGTGGCTGATAATCAGGCTCTATCCAGGTCTTTTGTCTCCCGGTTCTGTGTGGCACACTGACTTCATGTCAAAGACGTAGGCCAATGTTCGTTTTCTTTGTGGTGGCCATGGAGATGAGCTGTTTGTATAGTAGGGATTGGAACAACTCCAGAATGGGCTTTCTTCCAGACAAGAGGTGGTCTTTGGTGAAGTCTTCACAGACAATTATGGGATTCTCCATCATTTCCAAATAATTAAGTAGGCCCATGATGTTTGGTGATGGGTGTTTTATGTCCTCTATATGTGATGGGAGTCCCTCTGCTTTATGATGCACAACGATAAGCTTTTCTTTCAGACTGTTGTTGGTTTTTTTTCCAGTCAAAAAGTAGCATGATGCCTTCCAGCGTTGCCATTTTTTGTCCTCTCCAACGAGGTTGTGATTTTTGACAGCCGATTGCATGGTCATGCCTTGAACTTTGAGAGTGGTGCATGCGTAAGCCATCTTGATTGGAAATTGTTGACAGGCTGCTTCTTTCTTTAGAGTTTCCTCTGATCTTTTGATGTAAAGTGTCCTCTTTACCTTGCAGTTGTTGTCGTATGTATTTCTGGCCAGCATTTGGATTGTCGGCTGATTTCCAAGCATGTGCACAAATGCAAGTCTGTATTTTGTTTTGGTCACAATGTTTCCAATGTTTCCTAAGCATCCATTGACAAGTCCATCTTTGACATCCACATTTTTGATCAACATTATGCAGACTCCCAATCAATGCAACTTGTATGGTGCCTAGCAGGTTGTCTTCTTTTACCCATGACAGAGTTAGTTTGCTTTTTCATCCATCCTGTTCTTGCATCTTCCACACAGAAACACCAACTGACCCAGCTGAGGCTCGAACCAGCATCGCCACTGCAAGTCATAAATTCAGTACAAAATGTCAAACACAAATACAAAGGAAAGACATAAAATAATGGAACATTTAAAAAGCCACTGTACTACTCACCAACTGTTGCTGCTGTCACTGCCCTTTGTAAACTTTGAAGATGCCACAATATCCTCCTGATGTCCCTTGCTGCTGACCCTACTCTACTCTCATCACACAGCATCCACCTCAGGTACGACACACCGCCTTCACGCAACTGTGCACACACCACCAAGTAAAAGACGAGTGGCTGATAATCAGGCTCTATCCAGGTCTTTTGTCTCCCGGTTCTGTGTGGCACACTGACTTCATGTCAAAGACGTAGGCCAATGTTCGTTTTCTTTGTGGTGGCCATGGAGATGAGCTGTTTGTATAGTAGGGATTGGAACAACTCCAGAATGGGCTTTCTTCCAGACAAGAGGTGGTCTTTGGTGAAGTCTTCACAGACAATTATGGGATTCTCCATCATTTCCAAATAATTAAGTAGGCCCATGATGTTTGGTGATGGGTGTTTTATGTCCTCTATATGTGATGGGAGTCCCTCTGCTTTATGATGCACAACGATAAGCTTTTCTTTCAGACTGTTGTTGGTTTTTTTTCCAGTCAAAAAGTAGCATGATGCCTTCCAGCGTTGCCATTTTTTGTCCTCTCCAACGAGGTTGTGATTTTTGACAGCCGATTGCATGGTCATGCCTTGAACTTTGAGAGTGGTGCATGCGTAAGCCATCTTGATTGGTAATTGTTGACAGACTGCTTCTTTCTTTAGAGTTTTCCTCTGATCTTTTGATGTAAAGTGTCCTCTTCACCTTGCAGTCGTTGTCGTATGTATTTCTGGCCAGCATTTGGATTGTCGGCTGATTTCCAAGCATGTGCACAAATGCAAGTCTGTATTTTGTTTTGGTCACAATGTTTCCAATGTTTCCTAAGCATCCATTGACAAGTCCATCTTTGACATCCACATTTTTGATCAGCATTATGCAGACTCCTAATCAATGCAACTTGTATGGTGCCTAGCAGGTTGTCTTTTTTACCCATCACAGGGTTAGTTTGCTTTTTCATTCTTCCTGTTCTTGGGTCTTTTCGTTAATCTTCAGCATCAATGGTTATGATGTCAGCATGAAGAGAGTTTACCATCTCAGCATTGTGACTCTGGACTTCCTTGTTGGTTGCAAATACGGCAATAATTTCCTTGAGTGATAGTACAGCCGATTGCATGGCCATGCCTTGAACTTTGTGCATGTGTAAGCCATCTTGATTGGACATTGTTGACGAACTGCTCCTTTCTTTAGAGTTTCCTCTGATCTTTCGATGTAGAGTTAAGTGTCCTCTTCACCTTGCAGTTGCGTATGCATGTCCGCCCAGCATTTGGATTGTTGGCTGAATTATTTAGGCAAAACACAATACACTGGATTGTGATAGCTATAGTAGGTGTGTAAAACACCTGACTGCATGCACAAGTCTGGATGAGAAACATAAATATGATCCAACAGTGTTTGTTTCTCTGTGGTTGCCATGGTGATGAGCTGTTGGTATTGTTGGGATTGAAACAACTCCAGAATGGGCTTTTTTCCAGGCGAGAGGTGGTCTTCGTTGAAGTCTCCACAGACAATTATGGGATTCTCCTTCATCATTTCCAAATAATCAAGAAGGCCCCTGATGTTTGGCAAAAATTTTCCCAGACTAAAGTCTGGTGGCCTGTACACCGCAGCAATTGTTGCAGTCACTGGTGCATCAACTTTGATGACGACAAACTCCAGGTCGGTGACGTGGTGTATAAAGTGTCGAGGTTCCGCCTGGATGTCTTCTTTGCAATAAATTGCAACTCCACCACAGTCCTTCTTTGCCATTTCTGGAAGGGTTGAGTAAGACGCATGTCTATTTCTTGCAAACATCTTAAAGCCTTCCAACTGGACATGTGATGAGATGCATGATCCGGAGAGGTGCGTTTCCGTAACACAAAAGATATCACATAGAAGCAGCTCATGATGGTGTTTGATGTCTTCTATATGTGATTGGAGTCCCTCTGTGTTATGATGCACAATGATAAGTGTTTCTAACAGATTGGTGTTGGTTTTCTTCAAGTGGAATAGTGGCATGATGCCTTCCAGCGTTGCCATTTTCATCCTCTCCAACGAGGTTGTGATTTCCGGATCAGCATAGATCTTTTTCTCGTCATAGTCTCTGATGTATAAACCACCAAGTGAGGTTGTTCGGCTAAGGGCAACGTAGGCCATTCCTGGCTCAAAAATCTTCTTTAGTGACACTACAGCCGATTGCATGGTCATGCCTTGAACTTTGTGAGCGGTGCATGCGTAGGCCAACTTGATTGGAAATTGTCGACGGACTGTTCCTTTCTTCAGAGGTTCCTCTGATCTTTCGATGTAGACTAAAGTGTCCTCTTCACCTTGCAGCCGTCGTCTGTATTTCTGCCCAGCATTTGGATTGTCGGGCTGAATTCCAAGCATGTGCACAAATGCAATTCCGTCTCTTGTTTTAGTCACAATGTTTCCAATTTTTCCAAAACATCCATTGACGAGTCCATCTTCGACATCCAGATTCCTAATTACCATTATGCGGACTCCCACTGCAACTTGTATGGTGTCAAGCAGGTTGTCTTTTTTACCCATCACAGGTTTAGTCTGCCTTTTCATACCTCCTGTTCTTGGGTCTTTTCGGTAGTCTTCAGCATCAATGGTTACGATGTCAGCATGAAGAGCGTTTACCGTCTCACAATTGTGACTGTGGACTTCCTTGTTGGTTGCAAATATGTGCAATGCATCCCGTGGGCAGTCTTGGGGATTCTTCACAGCTTGCAATAACAAAGCTCTATCTTCTTCTTTAAGAGCATCAGACTTCCGTTTCACTCTCAGTCGGTTTAAAAGCTGGGCAAATGAAAGGTCCTCTTTCTGCCGCATGATCTCCGTGAGGGTTACAATTTGGAAGTGGTCTTTCCAAAAGTCCAGCACATCCTCTTCGTAAACGCAGAGTGGCTTGGCTTTTCCTGGGGGTGGTAATTGATAAAAGTCTCCCACCACTATGACAGAAATGCCCCCAAAGGGTTTCTTGCTGCCTCTGATCTGTTGAAACCTCCAGTTGATGTATGCAAAAAAATCTTTTGAGATCATAGAGATTTCGTCAATAATCAAGATTTCCACATGACGTAATTCAGCTCGTACATCATCAAGAGAGTTCCCAAGCCCTTGATAGGGTGGCTTCAGGTTCTTTGGCAGCTTTAGAATGGAATGCAGAGTTTTTCCAGAAATGTTAAACGCTGCGGTTCCAGTGAATGCACTCAAAAGCACTGTAGGAATGGAGAGATCTCCATCCTCCCGGAGCTGAGGAAGTTGTCGCAGAATCTTTGTTGCTTCAGTGTATACACACTTGATTACGTGCGACTTTCCACATCCAGCACCACCGGACACGAAGTAAAAAAACTGTTCTGGATTCAGTCCCCATACTCTGTTCTGACACCACTGCCGAATGGTGTAAAATATGGCTGCCTGTGTCTTGTTTAAACTTCTAAAGAGTTTCCTGACAAACTCGACACTCATCTGTGGCGCCTCTATGCGTGGTGCAACTCCGTCGCCATCTTCATTACGAGGCTGGAATTCAGGAACCTCATCCTGTTCGTCTTCCTCTGGACCGACGTCTTCTTGCTCAGCTATGCATTCCAGGCGATCCACTTCAACTTCTGGTGCAAAAGCTGTCCAAGCACTCTCAGATGGTCCTTCCTGCTGAAGTTGTTCAAATGCTTTATCTACGACTTTGCCGTGCTTTTCATATCTCTGCTGGTATGCCTTTACTATGCCGCAGACAGGGAACCGGAGACCAGGATGTCCAGGAAGTTCCACAAATCCGCTTTTATAAAATAGCTGATATGTGGGAAAATCCTCAGGTTTTAGCTCTGCATTGTGGCGATGGGGAACGTAAAGTTTCACCATTCTTCCGTAAAATTTTTCCGGTTGCTTCTCCTCTGAAAAGCGAGCATATCTGATAACTGCAGGCTTGCCAACAGTCCTCTTTTGAATAAATCCCATATCGTGAAGCAGTCGGAGGACATTTTTTCCTTTAATTTGCTGACCGTACACAACACGGTAATTGGATGCAAAGTCCGCAAGACACATTTTTTCAAACTCCAACGTTAGAGGTCTTGCTCTGTATTTTTCTATTAAACCTGACATCCAGACGTCCTCCGATTCAGGATTTTTGTTCAGCAACACACTTATGGGCAGACTCATCTTGAGGGCATCGTCATCTGTCGGAACAAACACGACACTTCGTGAACACCTCTTCAACGGCAAGCTGCATGTTCGCGCAACGGACTCCTGAGCACTTACTTGCCGGTGCTTGGCATAGGCTTGCATTATGTGCTTCATTTCGTCCTCTTCATTAACGTTGGCTTCTCGAACACTCTGGATAACGTTCTTAAGAAAGCCACTCATTTCATGCTCCGGCTTTGAAACGTAGGACAGCATATACATGATGCAGCTGTAAGCGTCTAGGATGTACTGAATATCCATGTTTGCATTCCATGCCCTGAGCAAATCAGGATTGTAGCCATTCACCCAAGTCTCCTTTGGATCACGCTTCAAAAGAACTGCACTGCCAGTGGTGAGTCCTTCAGCGTAGTTCAGGTAATCGTCCATGGACAAATTGCACTTGGTTAGAAGGTCTGACAAATTGTCGAAGGAAGATTTGGGATCATTCAGCAAATCCCACAAAGGCTTGAGTTTTGATTTGGCTTCATTCATTGCTTTTTTAGCCGCATCTCGCCTTGCTTTCTTCTTGGCCGCTGAGTCAGTAGGTTCATCATCCCCCTCATCAGGACGCTCTGGCATGGGATGAGTGATCATGGTCTTAGGCATTGGTAGTTTTGGAAATCCAAATCTACACACCACCTTGCCTTTCTTGCATGACTTTGAGTGGTTTCTGCTATGAAGCTGAACCTCCGTCACAATCTTATGAAGCTCAGGATCAACATTGGGATCTGGAAGCTTGCACGATACGTAACGGTCGATGAAGTCACATATTGTCTCATCATTATCTTCCTCTGGATCTGGGGCATCCTTTACCCAAGCAAGCAGATGAATATGTGGGCTTCCTCTCGCCTGAAACTCCACTCTATAAAAGAAATCCTCCACTTCACCAATGGGTTGTGCAGGTGACAAAAGCAGGTGAGCCATTAATGCATCTACACGCTTCTCAAACATGCGCATGACAGTGACAGGATTACTCCTAAGGATTTCACATTTTGTTGCCCAGTCAAGCTGTGAAAAGTCAATCTCTTCGCCTTGTTGAGCTTTGATTACAGTCACAATCTCAGGCCATCGCATTTCTGCTGCACTGAATGTACAAAAGAAAGTAGGTGTCCCCAGCTGTCGAATCATGGCCTGGAGATCTCGCAACGTCTTCTCCCAGTAGGCTGGAGAGCCTCTCAGGGGCTGCATGAATCGTGTGGCATCCCTGTTGTGAACAAGTCTCTCAACCTCATCGGAATCCTGAAGCATCCTATTGGAGATTCTTCGGCCATCTCTGGTAATGGGTTTACCTTTTCGAAGCTGAATGGACATGCTGTTTCTTGCCAGTTGCGTTTCTGTCACAAATTGTGCAAAGAAAAGGTAGCTTTGATCCCTTGCAAATCGGGCATCAACACAAAACAATCTGACGTTGAAGTACATGCTAGGAGAAATGGCTGTCTGCCTTGCCTCGTCAATTGTGTTCTCTCCAGTGGGGAACTGGACAGGGAATGCCATGGCTTCCAGTTTTGGGATTTTAAAAAATCCAACAGGCTTTTTTCCTTGTGCAGGTGCGATACTAAAGATCCCTTCACCGTAAGACAAGATGTCCTGTGCAATGTCTGGTGGCTGCATGCACGTATCTAAGGTGAGACCGGGTCTAAGTTCGTCTTTTTCCTCCACACTAACGTGTTGCTCCTCCTGCTCAGAATGGCCAACTTCTTGGTTATCCTCTGCTGCATCAATGTCTTCGTCAAACTGATCTTCAGATACCTCAGGCTCTGTTATGGAGATATCCTTGTACTCTGAATGCATTTCCTTCAGCTTAGACAAAGCTGCCAGCACGCTGTGCATATTTACAGTATGGAAGTGCTGGTATCCTTTAAAACTGACATGTCTCTTCAGCTTGACCTGTAGGAGCTGGGACTCGCTTCTTGGTCTTGGCAGAGAGTTTACAGTGTTCTCCACCTCCGAAGGCACACACACAACAGCACCGTGAACTGCTCTCTGTTGTCCTTTGGGCAGTGCAACTATTTTTGCAAAAGGCAAGATTTTTGCGATAAGCTGACGTTCTAGTACATTCAACTCAGCCAATTCTGCAGGGATAGGTGGCAGTTCAAGCTTGTTTACTGCTGCAATTGAAGGCATGTGTCCTCTTTTAAGATGGCTGTCACAAGTGTGGCAGATCCATTCCCGTCTTCTTTCCTCTGGAACAGTGCAATCATCTGAGCAGGCACTGTCGCAAGTATGTACATACTGCTTGGTCAAGCAAAATGATGAAAGTTGAACATCTTTTTCGTAGTTTGACCGGTCACAGGCCTTGACCTGGTCTGGAAAGAGGGCTCTGTGACAAACAGTGCAGACGTATGTAGGACCTTGCTGGATCTTACACTGGAATGCTTGAATTGCACTTTCCATCACTTTGCTGACTGTTGGCTGGGCTGTTTCATGGCTGGAGCGGATGTACATCTTATATTTCCTTTTAATCCTCAGTGCACATTGCAACTGATGAAGAATACGTGATGTAGCATCACTAGCAAGCTTCTGGTTCTTGTGGAGGGTACATCGGAGAATGTGATGTTTTCTGAATTCAGAGTCATTTGTATACCTCCTCTTCATGTAATCCTTCATTTTTTTCTGAAACACAGTATCGGTACTGTACCTCCTGACCATGTACGCTCTCATTTTTGCCTGAAAGACAGTATCGGTACTGTACCTTTGGATCATGTACATTCTCATTTTCTTCTGAAAGACAGTATCGGTACTGTACCTTTGCATCATGTACGTTCTCATTTTCTTCTGAAAGACAGCATCGGTACTGTACCTTCGGACCATGTACGTTCTCATTTTCTTCTGGAAGGCAGTATCTGTACTGTACCTCCGGACTATGTATGCTCTCTTTTTTTTCTGAAATACAGGATCTGTGCGATATCGTCTTATCATATCCTCCTTCTTTTTAGATCGGACAATCTCCTCTCTGTATCGTCTAGCCATGTAGCTTTTCTTTTTGTTTCTAATGAGAGCATCCTGACCATACTTTTGCTTAAGAGCTTCTTTTTTATTTGTCCGATACTGCAAACAGGCGGAATACTGGCCCCTCTCATCATCTCTTTGTTTGTGTTTTCGGTTCACATAAGATTTAGCTGTGTCCTTGGATTTTAAATTATCGATTGCTTTACGCAATTCTTTTCTTCTCCGTGCCTTATTTACTCTGGCTACCATGGGTTGGCGGCTTTCAGCTCCTCTGGGAACAGCTGCATTTTCATCTGGTTCTGGTAGAACTGAGATTACTTCTGAAATTGGTTCACGAGCTGATGGTGAAGGCTGCTGGCCTGCCTGTTGCTCCATTTCAAAAGACACAGACATGAATTCATAGGATTGGTCATCACGGCAATGGTTGAAGAGCTTAAGAATTTGTTCAGTCATGTCACTTAGGCGAGTAAAAGTTAACATGACAGCTGTTCCACCACCAGCCAGGGCCTCTTCTCCTTCAAATGTCCTTGAATGTGGATCAAAGAATCCATATCTGCCTGATCCATCTCTAAACACCGCAATGCATTCTGAAGAAACTATTAAAAGTGCATGCGTGACATCCACTGCGAGACACTGCAGTCTTTCAGGAAGAGGCAAAAACCATTCTTCCGTGTCAGGGGAACCTTTGGCTCGAAAAAATCCAACCTTGACTTCCGACTTCTGAACATTGTATGTTTGGTTAAATGTTGAAAGTCCAAAAGGTACTTCCTCCATGGACAGATAGTCATGACTGAATCTGTTTTCAGCGATGAGCTGCATTTTAACGCTGACATACAAGGCATCCCCTTCCTCTAAAACTCTGTCAAGATCCGACATCTTAAACTGATGCCCTGCACTGTGACTGGCCAAGAATGTCAGTGACACACAGGTACACTGGTGATTCCTTGAGAATTCATCATATCGAACATCAGCCTGAGAATGAGACGCCCGGACTGACACAACTTTGGGTTCATTACCCCCACTTTCCTCATATTGTCTAACAGGAGACTGGCCTACAGCAGCACTGGTACTCGTTTGTTCAACCTGCAAAAAACATGTACTTTATTAGATTGTTAGACAAAATTGTTTTTATACAAGTGGCATTATCTTTTTTGAAACCAAAGCTTATCAAAACTTAATCTTTTTTTTCCAAAAGAAGAATACAAAATGTGTTATTTTCTATTTAGTTGTCCACTTACATAAAGTGGCCAGAAAAAGACAACAATAACAATTAAATAAAATAACAACCTATTATTGTGCATTGGGAGGTGAAACCAGGTTTAAACAGGGCTATATAAACACACACATGCGTACATGTATGCATAAATGTATATGTATGTGTGTATACACAGACATACATGCTGTACATTTATGTGTATTGTCATTATACATACAGTGTGATTATTTGCATGAGACTTATTTGATAAAGTATTACCCTAACATTCCAAAACAATATTGTTTTTTTTTTTCAGACAATTACCACAACACACACCGTAACAGATTCTACAAGGGGCAACAAATCTCTTCAAAGTGTTTCATATTCAACTGAAATCAAACGCGGTGCTGCACAAACTGTTCACTCGAGTCTCAAAACATTTTGTGAGCTCCGCCAGCTGAAATCAAGATGTGTGCACCCAAAGCAAACCTTCGCAAACACAGCGATAACGTAACATTCACCACATGCAATTAAGCTAGTGGATGCTGGTCTCATTTGTAGTTATAATAACGCAAATAAGAATTGGACTAGTGAAGTAAAGTACAACACCACAAAAACATCTAAAATAAGCATTAGATGTAGTGTTGACATCGGAAAAATAAGACCCGTGCAAAATATGTAAGATCTAGAACAGTGACTTTAAAAGTTTTTAAGGCCTTAAATTTAGATTTTTAAATTTTAGACTTTAAGACCCCACGGAAACCCTGTTAATAAATGGTTCATAGTTTGTACTTATTATAAAGTGTTACGAATTATTGTAATTAAGAGAAATTTAAAGGAATTCTCGCCCAAATGTAACAATTCTGCAATCACTTCCAAACAAAAGCCTTTAAGTTCAATAATACACAATTTATTTTTCTTAAACATAATAATAACAAGGTTGTAAACTTGTAACCATGGAAGACAATGGTTAGAGATTTCCAAAATTCTTTAAAATATCTTATACGGTGCTCAACAGAATGCTTTGAATGCATGTCAAGAGTAAATAGCAGAATTTTCATTTTTGGGTAAACTATCCCATTAAGGCTTTGTGACGGGAAAATAATTTACTGTGTAATAAAAAAAATTCATTAAATTTGTAAATGGCTGCTTTAACTCATGCACAAATCTTCTAAAAATTACAGACATATTTCATTATTACCTCTTTAATGCAGGAAAGGCTGGTATTTACATCTTGAAGGTCTATCTTTTTCCAGCGCAATTTCTGAGCCTGAGATCTCTTCCCTTTTCGTGGCATGCTGGAAAAAAAAAACAAAAAAACACAACTCTAAAACAAATACACACATGTATGTGTGTGTGTGTATGTATATATATATATATATATATATATATATATATATATATATATATATATATATAAATGCCAAAATGAAAAGCTCTTGTTTTTAATACCGACTTCAGCTTTAATGCTGATCAAACTCAACTAAATTAACTAAGGGTGCTTTCACACTTGGTTCAATCGCCTGGACCTTAAGTTTAATTGTTCCCCCTTGCCATCTTCTAGGCTTGTTTGTAATCACACTGTCTTTTTTTCCTTCTGAACCACAGTTTGCTTGCATCATCGAGCTGTTGTTTTGTGTACGGCTGTTGCTAGGTGACGGACACACAGCAAAGCTGTGGAAAGATGTACCACATGGCGGTCGTTCGGCTTTTACTGACTCTTTTGGTTTTGAACGTACAGAGTGTAAAGCAGGTCGCACACCAGAAGCGCCGCTCGGCGGCGCGCCGTGCAGCGCCACGCATTTTAGAATTCTAAACATAGGTTTCTATCAGGATACACACACTGGCGCCGCAAATCGGCGGCTGTTGGCGGCGCCCGGCAACAGCTCAGGACGCAGTTCATTTTTCAGCCGCGCCACAGAGCGCCATCTAATTAGTTTCATGTTAAATATCATTCGAATGTGCGCGTCTTGTGTGTGATACTTTAAACTGTCATGTATGCGCCGTGTCGCCGCGCCGAGCGGCGCTTCTGGTGTGCGACCTGCTTTACACTCTGTATCCGTTAACACTAGCCAAATGTATCGTATTGAGATGTCAAACAACTCAGGTGCGGACCTAAAATGCTAGTGTGAAAGCACCATAAGAATCTGAAGGAGCACTTGGTAATCAAAGACCAATGTGTTTAATCAAGATTGCAGCTGGAAGGCAGGAAGGTGGATCTCTGGGAACATATGCCATTACAAGCATGAAGACAAAAATTATTAAGAAAGTTGCAATCTTGTATGTACAAATGTTTACATTTACATTACCCACACAGTTATGTTGGTCAAGTTTTCATTGAGTTTTTTTTTAAAGGCGTTTTGTATTTTATAAATGTGTATTTAAAAATCACAAAATTACAGTGAATTTTTTCAAATAAAATGAGAAAAATGATAAAATATGAGTAAAATAAAAATGTTTACGTGTTAAAAATAAATGTAATTAAATGTACAGAAATTATGTTACATCAAAGTACTTTTTAGGATACGAGGTGACTTTTGCCACAATACGAGACATTTAGAAAGCTAACTAAATGTTTTTTTCTTTGGCACATACTTTAAAACTTCCCCCGATGAAAGCACTGCAGAACCTGACAAGATGAAAACCAGTAGTATCTGAAGAATCTGGAATATCTGACGAGTCTCTCTGAAAAAGGGACAAAAAATAACATTAATGAAAATTAATGTCAACTATGCATTACCTTCTTTCCATGTTACACATCATCACTTATCAATAATATACTTAATCTGTATATAAAATAAATAGTTAGGGATACATCAAAAGCATTTATCTATTTTTTTTAAAGGAGCCAATTTGCGACAAATATACTATCAGAGTCATTTGCAAAAGATTCTTGGAAAAGTGATGTATAGGGGGAAAACAGACCATTATTCCACAGGAGGAAAAACAGAGTCCTTAACTTGTGCTCTGGGTTTACAACTTATACCTATTTTTGTTTCACTCTTAACTACTTTTACACTTTTTTGTATTTCTAGGCATGTCTGTACTTATTTTTACAAAATAGCAAATGTTTTTTTTTTTTTTATTTAAAAATCCATATTCCGTGGAATAACACTTTTCAGACACACCAAACTAAAATTATTTACGTGTTGAAAATAAACTTAATTAAATGTACAGAAATGATGTTACATCAAAGTACTTTTTAGGATATGAGGTGACTTTTGCCACAATACGAGACATTTAGAAAGCTAACTAAATGTTTTTTTTCTTTGGCACATACTTTATAACTTCCCCCGATGTAAGCACTGCAGAACCTAAGATGAAACCTGTAGTATCTGAAGAATCTGGAATATCTGGTGAGTTTCTCTGAAAAGGAACAAAAAGCAACATTAAATGTAAATTAATGTGAACTATGCATTACCTTCTCTCCATGTTTAACATCACTTTTCAACAATATACTTAATCTGTATATAAAATAAATTATTAGGGATATATCAAAAGCATATCAATTTTTAAAGGAGCCAATTTGCGACAAATATACTATCAAAGTCATTTGCAAAAGATGCTCGGAAAAGTGATGTAAGGAGAAAACAGAACATTATTTCACAGGAGGAAAAACAGACCCCTTAACCCAGGGGTGTCCAAACTCGGTCCAGGAGGGCCAGTGTCCTGCAGATTTTAGCTTCAACTTGCCTCAACTCACCTGCAAAGATGTTTCTAGAAAGCCTAGTAAGAGCTTGATTAGCTAGCCCAGGTGTGTCTGATTGGGGTTGGAACTAAACTGTGCAAGACACTGGCCCTCCAGGACCGAGTTTGGACATGTCTCCCTTAACCGTTTCTCTGGGATTACAATTAGGCCTGTAGTTATGCATAGTACTTTTTAGGATATGAGGTGACTTTGGCCACATTAGGAGACATTTAGAAAGCAAACCAATCACTTTCTCTTTGGCACATACTTTAAAACTTCCCCTGATGCAAAGCACTGCAGAACCTGAGAAGATGAAACCTGTAGTATCTGAAAGAAAACAGAGGTTAGCAACTATAGAAGACAGTACAGTGTGTAATATTGAAAGTTTTTTTTTTTTTTTTTAAGGAACAAAAAAAAATTATATAAAAAATGCAGAAAAAAAACAAAACAAAAAAAGAATATATAAATTACAAAATGCTAAGTTTATTAAAACAAAAGAAACGTTATCCCTGTAAAAATGGAGAACACTGAAAAATAAAACAACAGAAGTAGTTGTTTTATTTTTCACAGGAAACCTGAAAAATGAAGAAAATAGAACAAATTAGGTCAAAGCAACAACTACTGTTTTCTCAATTTTTGAAATAAAAATGTTATCCAACACTCACCAAGATGCAAAGTGCAGTGAAGAATCTGGAATATCTGGCGAGTCTCTCTGTAAAAGGGACAAAAAATTACTTTAATGAAAATTAGTCAACTATGCAATTTTTGAAATAAAAATGTTATCCAACACTCACCAAGATGCAAAGTGCAGTGAAGAATCTGGAATATTTGGCGAGTCTCTCTGTAAAAGGGACAAAAAATTACTTTAATGAAAATTAGTCAACTATGCATTACCTTCTCTCCATGTAAACATCACTTATCAATAACATAGTTAATCTGTAAATAAAATAAATTGTTATGGATATATTAAAAGAATGTATCTATTTTTTAAAGGAGCCAATTTGTGACAAACATACTATCAGAGTCATTTGCAAAAGATGCTCAGAAAAGTGATGTAGGGGGAAAAACAGACCATTATTTCGCACGTGGAAAAACAGATCCCTTAACTGTTTCTCTGGGTTTACAATTTAGACCTGTAGTTATGCATTTCAGTGAACCAATTCTTGTTTTTTTTTTTATTTCAAGACATGTTTGTACTGGATTTTACACAATACAAATGTGTTTTTTTTTAAGAAATCAATATTCTATGGAATAACACTTTTCAGACACACCAAAAAAAAAAAAAAAAAAAAAGTGTTAGACCAACTGTACTTTCCTTTAAAAAAAAAAACAAAATATTTATTTGAAAAGTAGTAACCAAACAATGTAAAAGAATAATTTTTTAAGGGACAATTCCCCCAAAATAAACAATTGACTCACTTTTATGCATTTACTTACACTGAAGTGGTTACAAACCTTTATGACTAACTTTATTCTGTTGAATACTAAAGATATTTTGGAGGGAAAAAAAAGCAAAAATCGGAGCAACACTAGACTTCCATAGTACATAGGAAAATACTATGGAAGTAAATGGTTACAGGTTTCCAGCTTTCTTGAAAGTATATTTTTTGCTCAACAGAAGAATGTATGAAACACAAAGGGTGAGTAAATGACAGAACTTTCAGTTTTGAGTGAACCATCCCTTTAACTCAAGCCCATAACTAACAAATCTGGAGAAACAGAATGGTCACTTAATTTCCCCCCTTAGTCATATTACAGTAGTGGTCTGATAAATGTATGAAATTAATGTTATCTTAAAAACTGATTACAATCCAAAAAGTGAGTTTAACTGCTGAAAAAAATCGAGAATTTTTGTAAGTACAGCATGTTTCTTTTTACCCTGTCAATATATTAAATCATTACCTGACACAGGATGGATAGCTGGTGAAAAAGTTCTAAAAAGATAAAAGTAGAAACAATCATGTCGCATAAAAAGCACATTTGTTCTAGGGAAATGACTATTGTATTTTAATGTCAATTACATAAATTCTATATGCAATATTAAGTAAACATGTATAAAAACCTTTACATTTAGATTGTGTAACATTTTTTTATATTGATTTCACGACATTCACAGTGCACTGACAATGCTTTCCATACACAATTTTAGATTTTAATTCACAGCACAAAAATTCTTGCAATAAAATGTATAATTTATACATTTACATATCATTTGTTCGTTTATTTTACCTGCTGAAAGAAAACACTGTTCTTGAATGTTTCAAACAAAGCTAAACTAAGTGCACAGGACAAGAGCATTTACAACAAATAAACTAATGATGTAAATATAATCTCGATTGCTTTTTTAGCGCTGTCGAACAAGTTCTTAAACACCTATAATCGGTCATTGTGTTCCCACACTCAACAGAAAGGGCTGCGGTTCTTCTCGACAGCGGTTACTGCGGCTCGAGTTTTTCATCGGAGTGACGGTGATACGGACAAACGGCCACGGTTAAAGTCTTAAATGCGCGGATATCACAGCTGATTCATGATAAACGCGGTAAAGAAAACTCCAGCTGCAGGGTAACATGCTTATGTGTGTCTGACCACAAGACTCGCTGTAATAGCCGAGAGGACACGTTACCTTAAGCAAGCAGGTCAAATGTCTAACACACACACACACACACACACACACACACACACACACACACACACACACACACACACACACACACACACACACACACACACAAACCGTCTCGCTCTCAGCTTCAGTACAGCCGCGGGAATGCAGACCTTTAGCTCACAGCTTCCATTTCATCTCCATATCAGTGAGATACGGGCTCGTGGGTTCTGTTGTAACGGTCGACTGCTGATTAAGTACGTTGACGATAGTTAGTAGGATGTTTTAATGGGCCGCCCTCACCACAGTAACGTTATTTATCGAAAAAATCGCAGCTTTTGCGACTTGAATCGTACCTGTTCTAATCGCGACTTCAGTTTAAAATTTATTACAGTATAAAGTGACTGTACGTCATAAAGCAGCCTGCATGAAGTTAAGATCTAACCGTTAGTACAACGGCTTCAGCCTGAATTATTATGGACACCTGAAATCCCACTAAAGGGCGTGAATGGGTACTTTTACATCCACTACAAGCAACAACAATCTACACTTTGTAATATACATGTTTTAATTGAACGTTAAACAGCAATTATACGAGCAAACCTCTTAAACAACCTACTCACCGCAGAAAGTTCTGGAACCTAAAGACGGCTCATCATCGTTGGCCAATAGAAGGCAAGGCAGAGCCAATCAACCTGCAGAATTAAGATTTTCTCCATTTATGGAGAGGACCACACCCGTTTTCAAGTGTGACTTTTGTAGTGCCTAAATAAAAAAGTGTGCATTATATATATATATATATATATATATATTTATTTATTTATTTATTTATTTATTTATAAAACACAGGTAAATTAATTGTAATACTAACTCAGAGACATTGTTTACCATCTTCCATTTTGAATCTAGCCATTTTTATGTATTACAGTAAATAAAAATGTCTGAATTCAAATAATTGTTCTCTGTTTGTGAGTGTGTGTGTGTGTGTGTGTGTGTGTGTGTGTGTGTGTGTGTGTGTGTGTGTGTGTGTGTGTTTGTGCGCGCGCGCGCGCTTTGCAGCCCGCAGGTTAATGATGACGTAACTATCATTTCACCCCAAACAGCGGCACCTTACTGAATATTAATTAATATTAATGGTTATTACACCTGCTTAATAAAAATCAGATGATTCACTACATTAATAAGTCTGACATAACTTGATCAGAAATCTAAAAAGAGGAGAAAGAGTAGGGTAAAAAAAGAGTAGACACCAATAGCAGCAGATAACAGTGCAATACTTATTCTTTGTTTCCATCCAATCAGTTCAATTGCGCCATCGTGGTCTGGTGATTAGCGCGTTCGGTTACAAAACCAGCGACCCGAGTTCAAACCTTACCAGAAAGAATTTATTTTTTCATTTTTAGTGTAAAGACATTTAATATTGTTTGGGTTACTTATTTCAAACCTTTACAAATGACTGGATATCTATAAAGAATTAATGTTCTCATATTTATATACAAAAAATGTGAAGTTCTAAGGCACCTGTGTCCTTGAAAAACGTGTTAGTGTGTTAGTGTCATTTGAAACTTGTAATTTGAATTGTAAATAATGTTATTTTAACATAGTCAGTCGTCGACTGATGTGGGTCGTTCTAAGGCTTGAAACTCCAGGGCTAAAAAGGAGTCCCACTCCAGCCCTGTGTGTGTGTGTGTGTGTGTGTGTGTGTGTGTGTGTGTGTGTGTGTGTGTGTGTGTGTGTGTGTGTGTGTGTGAGTAACAGTTGGTGTTTTCAGAAAACAAGTCTGAGCAGACAAAAACTGCTATCTTTATATTTGATTAATGAATAAATGTCAGAGACAATCACAAATCAGTGATTTACTGCATTGCTAGGTGGTTGCTAGGGTGTTTTAGTGGTTGCTAGGCACTGCTAATGTGTTCTGCTAGGTAGTTGGTAATTCCTAGCTAGGGTGTCCTGAGTGGTTGCTAGGTGGTTGCTAAGGTGTTGCTATGCAGTTGCTAGGGTGTCCTGAGTGGTTGCTAGGTGGTTGCTAAGGTGTTGCTAGCTGGTTGCTAGTGTGTCCTAAGTGGTTGCTAGGTGGTTGCTAAGGCATTGCTAGGCGGTTGCTAAGGTGCCCTGAGTGTTTGCTAGGTGGTTGCTAAGGTGTTGCTAGGTGGTGGTAAGGGTGTCCTGAGTGGTTGCTAGGTGGTTGCTAAGGTGTTGCTAGGTGGTTGCTAGGGTGTCCTGAGTGGTTGCTAGGTGGTTGCTAAGGTGTTGCTAGGCGGTTGCTAAGGTGTCCTGAGTGGTGTTAGGTGGTTGCGAAGGTGTTGCTAGGTGGTTGCTAGGGTATTCTAAGTGGTTGCTAAGGTGTTGCTAGGCGGTTGCTAAGGTGTCATAAGTGGTTGCTAAGGTGTTGCTAGGTGGTTGCTAGGGTATTCTAAGTGGTTGCTAGGCGGTTGCTAGGGTGTCCTGAGTGGTTGCTAGGTGGTTGCTAAGGTGTTGCTAGGTGGTTGCTAGGGTGTCCTGAGTGGTTGCTAGGTGGTTGCTAAGGTGTTGCTAGGTGGTTGCTAGGGTGTTCTGAGTGGTTGCTAGGCGGTTGCTAGGGTGTTCTGAGTGGTTGCTAGGTGGTTGCTAAGGTGTTGCTAGGTGGTTGCTAGGGTATTCTAAGTGGTTGCTAGGCGGTTGCTAGGGTGTCCTGAGTGGTTGCTAGGTGGTTGCTAAGGTGTTGCTAGGTGGTTGCTAGGGTGTCCTGAGTGGTTGCTAGGTGGTTGCTAAGGTGTTGCTAGGTGGTTGCTAGGGTGTTCTGAGTGGTTGCTAGGCGGTTGCTAGGGTGTTCTGAGTGGTTGCTAGGTGGTTGCTAAGGTGTTGCTAGGCGGTTGCTAAGGTGTCCTGAGTGGTGTTAGGTGGTTGCGAAGGTGTTGCTAGGTGGTTGCTAGGGTATTCTAAGTGGTTGCTAAGGTGTTGCTAGGCGGTTGCTAAGGTGTCCTAAGTGGTTGCTAAGGTGTTGCTAGGTGGTTGCTAGGGTATTCTAAGTGGTTGCTAGGCGGTTGCTAGGGTGTCCTGAGTGGTTGCTAGGTGGTTGCTAAGGTGTTGCTAGGTGGTTGCTAGGGTGTCCTGAGTGGTTGCTAGGTGGTTGCTAAGGTGTTGCTAGGTGGTTGCTAGGGTGTTCTGAGTGGTTGCTAGGCGGTTGCTAGGGTGTTCTGAGTGGTTGCTAGGTGGTTGCTAAGGTGTTGCTAGGTGGTTGCTAGGGTATTCTAAGTGGTTGCTAGGCGGTTGCTAGGGTGTCCTGAGTGGTTGCTAGGTGGTTGCTAAGGTGTTGCTAGGTGGTTGCTAGGGTGTCCTGAGTGGTTGCTAGGTGGTTGCTAAGGTGTTGCTAGGTGGTTGCTAGGGTGTTCTGAGTGGTTGCTAGGCGGTTGCTAGGGTGTTCTGAGTGGTTGCTAGGTGGTTGCTAAGGTGTTGCTAGGCGGTTGCTAAGGTGTCCTAAGTGGTTGATAGGTGGTTGCTAAGGTGTTGCTAGGTGGTTGCTAGGGTATTCTGAGTGGTTGCTAAGGCGTTGCTAGGCAGTTGCTAGGGTGTCCTGAGTGGTCGCTAGGCCCTTACTAAGGCGTTACTAGGCGGTTGCTAGGTGGTTGCTAGGCGGTTGCTAGGGTAATTTGGGTGGTTGCTAGGCAGTTGCTAGGGTACCCTGGGTGGTTACTAGGCAAGCCTCACATACATGCCTGATGAAATATTTATACTTAGTAAGCATTTCTAGCAAGTTACAGTACATGGCTAGTCAATATTAGCATGTAGCTAGTCACTGCTAGCATGTGTAGCATATAGGAAGTTCCGTTTGCTAGCATGAGTCAAACGAGCCAATCCCCAAGTCTCTACGATGTTCCGATGCTGAGATATAGCTGTTGATGAACGGTTGCTAGGGTACTCTGTTTTGTTGCTATGGGCGAGGTTACAGAGTGAACTTGAATGTGGTTGGCTGTCCAAGTCAAATGAGCCAACCCCCAAGTCAATAGGACACTGCTAAGCAAAGATATGCATGTAGAGCAGTTATAATGGCAGTCTATGGGACCAGTTTGGGGGCGTGGCTTGTGAGATTCATTATCATATTGAGATGCTCATTGGTTGTCTGAGTCAGATGAGCCATCCCCCAAGCCAATAGGACACTGCTAAGCAAAGATATGCATGTAGGGCAGTTATAATGGCAGTCTATGGGACCAGTTTGGGGGCGTGGCTTGTGAGCTTCATTATCATATTGCGATGCTGATTGGTTGTCTGAGTCAGATGAGCCCACCCCCATGTCTCTATGACACTCCTATGTAATGTTATAGATGTGTGACCTTTATAATGGAAGTCAATGGGATCTGCAATGGGACATCCCACCCCATGTTAAGTCAATGGGGCACTTATTAGGGGTCTTTAAGTGGTTTGGGGGGGCGTGGCTTGTGAGCTTCAAAATCATAGTGAGATGCTGATTGGTTGCCTGAGTCAAATGAGCCCACCCCCAAGTCAGTATGACACTGCTATGTACTGTGATTGACATGTGACATTTATAATGGGAGTCAATGTAATGAATGGGAGTCAATGGGGCCCATGTTAAGTCAATGGGACCACTTTGGGACGTCCTAGCCCCCCAGGGGTTCAACTTATACCCCCCTGCGTGGTATGTTCTCACTTAGGCTGCAACCCCCTACAGCTGTTGCGAATCCCATATTTCTACGAAATTCAGACTCGGCGCTGTGATTCGTCAAAGTTCGGCTCAATGTTAAGTCTATGGGATTTTTGGGGGTGTTTTTTGGCCCCTGCGGGGCCAAAAAACCCCCCACCCCTTATAAAAGTCATAGCACACCATTCCCGATAAGACCGCACGATTTGACCCCACTTTCAAGGGTCTGGGACGAAAGCTGCGGGACGAGTTACGCGCCGAAAAACGTACGGAAGAAGAAGAATAATAATTATAACTAGAATTGTACATTTCCTAAAGGAAATGTGAATGGGGTTTGCGTGGCAAATCGATGGGGTACAAAATGGTACTAAACTGGGCAAAATAGCAGTAAATGTGGAGAAATGGTTAAATTCATGCGTTTATGCGGTTGCTAGGGTAATGTAAACGGTTGCTAGGGTGTGGCAACGCCTTTGTAATAGGTGAAGACAATAGAGATTTGATCAAGCTGCATCAAAAGAAGCAAAACCCTGTCTTTCTACGATATTCCTGTGCTAAAATATGGCTTGTTTATGTTGTTATATGGTTGTTAGGAGGCCTAAAGTGGTTGCTAGGGAGTGTCTACAAAATTGTTATGTCGCTACTTAATACCGACTTGATAGGCGGAGTAAAACAAGCCCACTCCCAAGCTTCTAAGACTCTCTAATCTAAATATCAATGTCAGCCATTTTGTGTCCATGTTAAGTCTATGGGGATTTTGGGGGGTCACTTTCTTGCCCCTGATGGGGGCAGTGTACCCCCAACCTCTTTGAAAAATCATAGCACACTTCTCTCCAACAGGCCGGTCGATTTGACACCTCACTCATCATTCTAGGGCAAAAAATGCGGCCGGAGTTGCGCGCCGAAGTTTTGAAAAAGTGAACAGTAATAGTAACACTAGAATTGTACATTTCCTAAAGGAAATGTGAATGGGGTTTGCGTGGCAAATCGATGGGGTACAAAATGGTACTAAACTGGGCAAAATAGCAGTAAATGGTTAAATTCATGTGTTTATGTGGTTGCTAGGGTATTGTACATGGTTGCTAGGTTGTGGCAACGCCATTTTAGTAGCTGAACTTAATAGAGAT